GTACTTTCTGTTTTCTTTGAATAGTGCTTTCTCTCTCTCTGGCTCTCTCCTCATTGATGCTAGAGCCACACCTGGCAGTGCTCAGGGAGGACTCCTGGCTCTGTGCTTAGGAGTCTTTCCTGCCCGGGATCAGGGGATTCTGTGGCTTTGAACTTGGGTGGGCTGCTCGCAAGGCAAGAGCCTTACACACTGTACTGTTTCTCTTGCACCCCCCCTTTTTCTTCTCAATTCATAGTTTGAGGTGCTAATTACCTGTGACCTGCTAGTTTTTCTGCAGTCATGGGATTTTGGTCATATACAACCTATTTAGAAATTTTAGAACTGTTCTCTTTAGAGTAAAAATAAAGTGGATTGTATGACATGGTGGGTCAGGGCCAGTGCCCGGGAGTTTGGTGCGCTATACCATCCCACTTCCTTATCAGAGTATTTTGTTTATTTACTTGCCTTTCTGTTTCAGAGGCTAGTCCTGGTGTTGTGAGGATTCCTTGATGTGTGACCTTTCTGGTCTCAGTAGTGTCACCATGTCCACAGCTACAGCGTAGCTCCATCTTTCCTTCACTAGGGTTCAGTTCTTGGGTTTTTAAAAAACTCGTTGGAGTGGGAGTGGGCTGATATTAAATAATGTAATATTAAAAAAGTTTTGTTGGGTCCTATTCTTGTGGGGACCCCAACATGCTGTAGCAGAGGGCCTGGGGAATGACTCAGGACCTATTGAGCCACATCCTGGCCCCTGGAGTAGGCTGTGTTCCTGGTTATTTTTTTGTTTGTTTGTTTGTTTTTGTGACTCCTTCTGTTTCATTAGAAATTAATGGACAGAAATTGGAAGAGTTTCGATGTATTGTCTTAACCGGTCAATTTTTTTTCTTCTCTTTTAAGCATACTGAGATCATATAAAGATGGATCTTCAGGCATAGTTAACACAGAAACAAAAGTCTTCTGTAGAAGATGGTAATTAAGCGGTCTTGGTAACTGTGTCCCTAGGTAGCATTTTTCACTTCCCCAATTAAAAGCCATGAGTCATGTTATATCTCACTTTGAAGATGCAGAAAACTCAGGTTCTTTTCTAGTAAGCACTATGTGGCTTTCTCAAAGTCCTTTCTGCGTGGGACAGAGCAGAGATGGCTTTGTCTCCTAGTTCCCAGTAGTGTTCTCTCCATGCAAGTGATGGAGCCTGTATCCCATGTGCCTTCCCAGAGCAGCATTAGTTACTGTTGGAATGTGCAGAGGTGACACAGTCTTTCCTCCGAACTCTGAATGGAGAAGTTGGCTTCTCAGGCTGGGAGGGCGGGAGCACGTACTCTGCAGGCTGAGCCTGAGATCGGATCCCCAGGGACTCTGGGTCTATGGAACACCCCCCAGAGTGCCAGAATGGCTGTGTGTAATCCAGGACCACACCAAAACCACGCCAAAGACTTGGGGCTTGGGGATGTGGCTCCAGAGCCCTGGGTGGTGTCCTGGCCACTCTCCTTCCTGTCCACCTCCTCCTCCCTGTAATTCAGTGCCTCAGTAGAAATCAAACATTTGATGTTAAAATGAAAGAAACTGGCCCCAATTTTTCATACTAGCTTCCTTGTTCCTGATTTCTTGTTCTCTTAACGAAGAAAAATTCTAAATCCAGATTTAAACTTAAATTTATTAAGCAGTATGAAAAATGGATTGTTATAGTACTTTATCTCATTATTTAGTTTTTTAAATTGCTGTACTAGGCTATTACTTCTTATACTCATTTCATTGTACATTCTTTTTTAGTTGTGTTTTTGACTTAATTATTGTCACCTTTTTTTTTTTCTTTTTTGGGTCACACCCGGCAATGCTCAGAGGTTAGTCCTGGCTCTGCACTCAGGAATCACTCTTGGTGGTGTTCGGGGGACCATATGGGATGCTGGGAATCGAACCCGGATCTGCTGTGTGCAAGGCAAACGCCCTACCCGCTGTGCTATCACTCAAGCCTCTTGCCACCGTTTTTGAGAGCATTGCGTTAAGAAATATGGTGAAGTGACTGCACACCTTTTAAAAATATTATTGTTTTGTGCTGCTTGAGGTCAAACGCAAGGTCTTAGATGCAAGGCAGGTACTCTTTTGTTCAAAATTCCTGGACCCTGAAAAACAGTCCAAATTGAAAGTCCTTGCGTAAGCAGCCTTCATGATGAGCAGTTTGCATGCATTTTAAGATGAGTATTATTGCTTATATTTTACATATTAAAACAAGACCATGAAACCCAAGCACAAAAATTTGTAAGTCTATAACTGTACCTCATGGTGTTTCACTAATAAAAATAAAAAAAAAGTCCAAAATTTTACAGAAACTAATTTATTTTCAGTTTTCTGGTTATGACCAGAAGTGCAGAATTCATATTCAGTTTGGTCTTTATTCCTGGTTTTGTAGTATAAATTCACGTAGGTTGATATCAAAGGCAAGTGTGGTAGAAGGAAGTGGTGGAGAGTGAGGAGATAACAATATATTGATGATGAATAATTTTGAGCTTTTGATGTATGGTCGACTGCTAAATTTCATATATGACTTTAAATCATTTAATAATTTACTCCACATAACAGCCTTAAGAGAGATTTATTCTATTTCTCTTCATTAATGGATGAGAGAAATAGATGTTTTAGATGTTTTCCATTTGATTAGGGAAACAAGATAATAATTTGGATTAATGGGATTCAAACCAAGATAATTTTTTATTTTAGTAAAAAAGATTTCTCTTGGGTTGGAGCAATAATGCAGTTGGTAGGGTGTTTGTTGTGCATGCAGCCAACCTAGGTTCAATCCCTGTACCCCATATGGTCTCCCTGAGTGATCCCTGAGTGCAGAGCTGGGAGTCAGCCCTGAGAATAGCCAGCTGTAGCCCCCAAAGTAGAACAAATCCAAAAGTTTACTATAGGGGTGGAGAGGTAGGACAGTGGGTAAGTTGCCTGTCTGGTATTCTGCCAATGTAGGTTTGATCATAGGGTTCCCTGAGCACTGTCAGGAGTGATCCTTGAACATAGAGTGAAGAGTTATCCCTGAGCACTGCCAGGTCTGGCTCGAAAAAAAAAGCAAAAATGTTACTACAAAATTTATAATGAGGGCACATTTCTAAATGTGCCTCTCTGTTGTATGTTTATTTACTTTATTGTATAATTTTTCTTGGAAACTTAAACCCAGATGACTTGACAGAAGGGCTTTTGCCCTTAATCATATTGTCACCAGTCACTGACTGCATAAACAGAAAGCATAATGCTGAAACATTTAGACTTCAATCAATTAGACAAGCCATTGGTTTTTAAGTTTTTTAATTAAAAATTTAAATTAAAAACATTTTTGGGTCACACCTGGCGGTGCTCAGGGTCTGCTCTTGGCTCAGTGCTTAGGGATCACTCCTGGCAGGCTCAGGGGACCACACGAGGTGCCAGGGATCGAGTGCCCTACCTGCCGTACTGTTGTTCCCAACCCCTTTGTTTCGTTTTTAAATTTGGTGGCTTATTTTATCAGACAGTACAGTTTTCTCTCAGAGACATGTTACTTGGTTTCTAAGAAAGCACTGGGGGTTGGGGGGCAGAGACTCCGCAGCTGGCAGTGCTCAGGAATGACCATGGCGCAGTGCTCAGGGCTCTCTCCTGGTGGTGTCGGGGGACCATGTGAACGCCTGGGTTGGACTGGGGGTGACCGTACCAGAGGAGCCTTGTGGTACCGTCTCTCCGGGACCAGCAGACACTGGCTTTGACTTCTACTCATGAAGACAATGGAGAAATCAGGGCTCGGCTTATCTGCTTTCCTTGAAAGCAAGTGAGGGCAGACCCAGAAGCAGCTTGTTTAAGTCGCCGTCCACCCGCAGTGGGGATGAGGGAGCGGCAGCAGTGAAGGGGGTCTGAGCACCGGCTTTCAGCTGGTGGACACAGGGCTGAGGCAGTGGTGTTACGGGAGACCAGCCAGCCGAGTTGCTTCTGGGGTGTGGGAGAGAGAAGCCTGCAGACAGAGACTTCCCGGTAGCTGCAGAGGGCTCCCTGGAGTGTGCAGCTCAGCGGAGCTAGGGGTCAGCCGGAAGGTGGTCTGACCAGGGAGAAACAGGTCAGTGTTCAGCTGAGCAGGAACTCGGGCTTGTTTTGACTGGCCAGGCTGGGAAAACTGCCGGGTGACTCTCGCCTCAAGTGGGGTATGCACACAATCTCTGCCCTGACCGCTGCTCCAGGCTCGCCTAACACCATGAAGGCAGGTCTGTAGAGTAGTAGACTCCCGAGCCCTTTCACTCTGTCCCATCACAGAGCCTGAGAGAAAGTGTAGAAACACACAGATTGTCACAATATATTGTCTGCATATGGTCCCCGGTCCCGAGCACCGGGCACTGCTGAGCGTGGGTCACTCCTCCAAAAGAAAACAAAAAGAAATGGACTTTGTAGTTAAGCTTTGCTTAAAGAAAGTGTGCTTCAGTGGTGAAAAATTCCAGTTTTTCATAAATCTCCCAAGCTCTCTTTTTCTCTCCTATTTCCCTCTCTCTCTTCCTCGTCCCTCTCCCTCCTTCTTCCTCTCCTTTCGTCCTTCCATCCCTCCGTCCCTCCTCCCTCTGTACCTGGCACGTGTGTCCCGGATGCTCTAACACCTGGCTGACTGTTTGGAGCTGCTCAGGCACAGGGGTGCAGGGGTGGCCCCCAGGGCCGCCCACACAGTGCTCTGGGCACAGGCCACACCTGTTACGCCAGTCAGTGCGTGGGCTCCCAGCTCTGCCCACTGTGCCTGGTGGAGGGGGCTGAGCATGAGTTCTGACCCTGGAGCTTTCTCTCTGACCAACTCCTATTTATTACATTAAGTTTCAAAACAGACTGTGTACAAATGTGTGTATTAGGTATAATACACATAATACACGCATATAATACGTGTATAATACAATGCGCGTATTAGGTTTAGTGAGAAAGTTGTTCCTTATGTAGTTGTAGGTATTTGAAGAATCATGGAATCATAATAGAACTGGGATGTGCCTTCAAAATTATATTAAATTTGAACTGTTTCTGTTTTATAGGTCAGTATGGAAATCCATTAAATAAATACATTAGACACTATGAAGGATTATCTTATGATGTGGATTCATTACACCAAAAACACCAGCGTGCCAAAAGAGCAGTTTCACACGAGGACCAGTTCTTACGTCTAGATTTCCATGCGCATGGAAGGTGAGTAAATTTATTGCTGTGTCTGAAGTTCCCCAACGTTCCCTTTAACTTAAAAGAAATTTATATCCTTAATTTTCCTTCCTAAATGGAAAGGTCCCTATTTTGAAATTCAGCCTTTGCTGGCATTATATATCAAAATGTGTTTTCTTTTTGGAAATAGATTTCCTTTTCATATTAAGGGATAGGGCTGGAGCGGTAGCACAGTGGGTAGGGTCGTTTGCCTTGCATGCGGCCGACTGGGCCGACCCGAGTTCGATTCCTCTGCCTTTGATTTCTCTGTCCTGCCCCTCTTGGAGAGCCTGGCAAGCGACCTGTGAGAGTATCTCGCCTGCATGGCAAAGCCTGGCAAACTACCTGTGATGTATTCGATATGCCAAACACAGTAACAACAAGTCTCACAATATTACTGGGTCTGCTCGTGCAAATCGATGAATGAACAATGGGAGGACAGTGACAGTGATTAAGGGATAGTTAGATTTAGATGGTTTAAATCAGATTTTCTATTGTGTTATTAGGGACTGCATTTTTAAAAAAAATTTTTTTGCCTTTTGGGTCACACCTGGCAATGCTCAGGGGTTACTCCTAGCTCTACACATTACTCCTGGCAGTACTCGAGGGACCATATGGGATGCTGCAGATAAAACCTGGGTCAGCCACATGCAAGGCAGATACCCTACCTACAGTACTATGGCTCCGACCCAGAGGCTGCATCTGTGATGAAGAGTCTGTGTTCATAGATTCCTGCTCCCTCTTACATGTTTTTATGGTCAGCTTATTTGTCTTGGTTGTCAGCAGTGAAGTTTGCTGATTGTATGTCCTGGATAAGTCATTTTTCCTATGTTATTAACAGTGTCCTCTTCTCTGAAATGACAACTTGGAGATAGATCACCTCCTGTTCTGCTCAGTGGTCAGTATTTATTTAGTCATGCCTTGCAGTGCTCCGAGCTCTTTCCTGGCTGTGTGCTCAGGTCACTGCTGTGGGGCTCAGAGGGATGTCCATGGTGTCAGAGAGCGCATTGGGGTCAGCTGCGCCTGGCAGACGCCTCCCTGTCATGCTCTCGCTCTGCCCATGTCACCATTGCTCAGGAGTAAGGAAAGGGAGCTGAGGGAGAGAGGGAAACAGCGCTTTTTGTTTGATCTTTGTCATGTTCAAGGTACTTAAAAATGCCTTATATGCATTTTATTTATATATTTATATATTTATTTATTTTTTTGCTTTTTGGGTCACACCCGGCGATGCACAGGGGTTACTCCTGGCTCTGTACTCAGGAACTACTCCTGGCGGTGCTCAGGGGACCATATGGGATGCTGGGAATCGAACCTGGGTTGGCCGCGTGCAAGGCAAATGCCCTACCTGCTGTGCTATTGCTCCAGCGCCCCTTACATGCATTTTCTTCCTTAAAAGAGGGGACAAGATTTATTTCAGGGTCTCTTCTAGATAAACACTCTGGTCATAGCAGTTTGAATTTTTTTTTTTTTTTTTTTTACTTTTTGGATCCACCTGTAAAGTACCTGGCGATGCACAGGGGTCACTTCTGATTCTACACTCAGGAGTTACTCCTGGTGGTGCTCAGGGGACCATATGGGATTCTGGGAATCGAACCTGGGTCGGCCACGTGCAAGGCAAATGCCCTACCCGCTATGCTATTTCTCCAGCCCCAGCAGTTTGAATTTTTATAAACTAGATATTTTTGATTTTCCTGCATTTTTAATAGAACCACAAATAAGGAATAATTCACTTTCCTAACTTTTTAGTGGATATCTTAAAGTAAATAAAATATCTTTTGGCTTTTGGGGTCATACGTGGTGCTGCTCAGAGGTTACTACTGGGTTACTCCTGGTTCTGCACTCACAAATTATTCCTGGCGTTGCTTGGGGCTGCTGGGGATTGAACCTGGGTTGGTCGCGTGCAAGGCAAATGCCAAACCTGCTGCTAAACCTGCTCTGGCTCTAAATTTAATTTTTTTATTTTGAATCTAGATTGACTGCCAAAAGGAAAAGTTGAGATCCTTAGAGCTGCCATTGGTTTTAATACCCACATTCCCATTACATCATTAGATTTTTATTACATCTGTCACATAATTCATATTGAGCATGTGGCAAGAGAAAGTGTGTGTGTGTGTGTGTGTGTGTGTGTGTTTGTGTTTGTATGGAAGAGAGTCCATGAGAATGTGCATGCTTCTGGTGCATGCTTTTAGCTATTATTTAGTTGTCCAAAAGATACTTAGGCGGTGAGTTAGAAACTTTCTTTGTTTAGGCTGTGGGGGATAGGAACACATCATAACTGAGGTTACAAGATGATTATAAGTCATTGTATAAGATGATGCTATTTTTTACAGATGAAATGATACTGATACTCACAGGAGGTAATAGTTGACAGTAACCAGAATTTTCTTCTGGTTGAGTGTCTCACAAAGTAGCTCGGGCCTGGAAATCTCATGCTTGTTTATAAAACTGCTTAACTAAATAAAAAGTACAGTTTTAGAATAGATCTAAATTCAGTCATTCTGTTTTGTTGTGTCAAGGTTTTTGTTTGCTTTTGTTTTGCTGTTTGGGCCACACCTGGCAACGCTCAGGGCTTACGCCTGGCTCTGCTCTGGGATCAGAGCTCAGGGGACCATATGCAGTGTTGGGTATGGAACCCTGGGCAGCCATGTGCAAAGCGAGTACCCTACTTGCTGTCCTAGCTCTGTAGCCCTCTCATGTTAGCTTTAATACTTATGTACTCATATCATCGTAGAACTTGTGCCCCAAACATGGTCATCTGATATACTTTGTATAAAACTATTTGATGAATTGATAATTCTATTTCTCTCTTTCCTTGAAATACAGGCCTATGTGCGACCTGTATATAGTATAGTAATAGATTTCCTGTTAAAAGTAGGAAAGGTTAGAGCGCTTGCCTTGCACATGGCCCACGCTGGTTTGATCCCGGCATCCCTTAAGGTTCCCCGAGCCCAAGCGATTCCTGAGTGCTACGCTAGGAGTAAGCCATGAGCATCATTGAGTGTGGCCCCCCAAACCAAACAACAGTAACAACAATGAACACCCCCCCCACACCAAAAAAAAAATCCAAACCCAAATCTCTCCCCTCCCCCCCACACACCCCAAAGCAAACCCTCCTAACTGGGATTTTCATTTATGTTTCAGTTTGGCTATTTGGAGCGATAGCACAGCAGTAGGGCATTTGCTTTGCATGCAGCCTGCTTGGGCGAGCCAGGTTTGATTCCTCTGCCCCTCTCAGAGAGCCCAGCAAGCTACCGAGAGTATCTCGCCTGCACAGCAAAGCCTGGCAAGCTACCCGTGACTTACTCAATATGCCAAATACAGTAACAACAAGTCTCAAAATGGAGACATTACTGGGTGGCTCAAGGAAATTGATGAACAACGGGAGAACAGTGGGACAATGCTATGGTGCTACAGTTAATTATCATTAATTATACAGATTAAAAAGAAGTGATTCTGAAAAGTCATAATAGATCAAGCTGTGCGATTGACTTGAAGATCAAGCTTACCATGAACATTGTTTGGGTGTGACTGTGGGCCCGTCAGTCACTGCAAGGGCAGCATAAGGTGGTGTTACTTGGACCCTGCAGTACTGGGGATGCCCTGACCCCCCAAGTGGTACTCTGGGCCTCCAGAATCACCTTCTGCAGATCTCAGGCTACTGTGGTGCTGGGTACAGAGCGGGATCAGGTGTGCATTCACTTTCACCAAGCACTGCCTTCTGTCCCTGTTTTTATTTCATAAATCAGCTCGTGAACAAACATCCAGTCTGGCTTCCACATTTCCTAATAAAAAAGGGAACCTTGCATTTTATGTTAAATGAAGTATTGTAACACTGTAGCATTGTAGTCCAGTTCATCATTGATTTGCTCCAGCGAGCACCAGTAACGTCTACATTGCGAGACTTGTTACTGTTTTTGGCATATTGAATCCGCCATGGGGAGCTTGCCAGGCTCTGCTGTGTGGGCGGGATACTCTTGGTAGCTTGCCGGGCTCTCTGAGAAGGACAGAGGAATCGAACCCGGGTTGGCTACATGCAAGGCAAACACCCTACCTGCTGTGCTATCACTCCAGCCCCCATTTCAGGGGGCTGAAATGAAGTATTAAATAATGAAATGCCAATAATCTTTAACTCGATATTATTGCCTTTGGAATAAAGCTCTTCAGAAACAAAAGTTTCATCCAGGCCATTTGTCTAGTTGCTGAGGAAAGGCAGATGTTTTAATTTCCGAGTATCCATTGACCGTGAACGTACTGGTGGCTTCACAGCCACCCTGGAGAGCGTGTGTGTGCTGGAGCCCTGGGCTTGCTTCCTGGGGCCTCTGCCAGGATTGATCCCCAGCGCCAGGCCAGGAGAGGTCCTGAGCCGCAGTGGGTTTGCCCCAATACTCCTTATCCCTCCCCCCCTTTTTTTTTTGATAATAAATTTTAGGAATAAAGCACATTCCTGAGCTTTCCAGAGAAATGAGGAGTTTTCATGATTTTAAAAATTGCTTCACTTGAAATGAGTCAGAAAGAGCGGGATAGACACAGAAAGATTACATTCATCTGGGGAACATAAAGTAACAAAATAGGAGACTAACACCCAAGAGTGGCCGAGATAAGTACCAGGAATTTTGCTCTGTGACTTGGAGGCCAGCCACACATGCTAGGGGAAAAGGGAGCTCAGATAGAGAAGGGAGCACCAAATAAAGGGTGTTGGGAGGATCCTCCCAGGATGGGAGAAGCATGCTGAAAGTAGACTATAGACCAAACATGATTGCCACTCAATGCCTCTCTTGCAAACACAGCACACAAAAGGAGAGAGAACAAAAGCGAATGCCCTGCCACAGACGCAGGGTAGGATGGGGGGGATGGGGGGGGTGGGAGGGATACCGGGACCCATGGTAGTGGAAAATGGGCACTGGTGGAGGAATGGGTACTTGATCATTGTATAACTGAAACCCAAGCACAGAAATTTGTAAGTCTATAACTGTACCTCATGGTGTTTCACA